TGAGTTTTGATGATTTTTCCCAAAATTGGCCACGAGGCGCAGCAAGTTGCGGGACTAGGTGACTTGCACCATATTTAGTTCAGTTAAAATTGTCATGCCTAAACAAATAGGGTAAAATTCCGAGCCATTTTCAGTAGAAATTTCATGCCACCAGTGATGAGCAAAAGGTCCATAGTATAAATTAAAGTCAATTATTCCTTGAGATGCAAGTGTTGGTGAAACTTCTTTATGTTTAGACATTTAAATAAAAATTTTATATTTATACAATATGTACAAAAAAATTTTTTTTGATATAAAAGTATGTCTGATATAAAAAAAATAAAATTTGAGATATGAAAGAATTATATGGATATGTCTGGATTCAGAAAATGAGACTTTTTATTAACCCCGTTTTTTATTATTAAAAAATATGCCGATCATCTATTGTATCACGTATCACGAATTAAACTTTATACGTTTAATGATATTATTTTGAATAAATTCTTTAAAAATAATGCTGTTTAAATTGACTATATGCTACTTGTGTGATCGATTCAATCATTAACATCAAAGGGACAAAATTAATTATTTCGCAATAAAAGCTATTTGTTTGTTATTTTATTTGTTTTGTTCGTTTGTTCGTTTTGTTTGTTTTGTTCAAATTATTCGTTTTATGCGTTTTATTCATTTTATTCGTTTTATTCAAATTATTTGTTTTATTCAAATAAACCTTATTCGAATAGAAACCCTAACTACTACTAAGATTACGATGTTATTTTAGTACAAAGAGCTTTAGAAATATTTAACCAATAACTTAATTACAATACAAAAGAGCTATTGGTTTATTAAATTAAGCCAATAATTTAAGAAGAATATTTGATAAATATTGGCACTTTCAACATTAACTAATAGGCTTTTAGGCTATATGATAAAAATACTAAGAATATTATTACCTTATCAGCATGCCAATACCTTAATTATTTTTTTAAGAAATATCAGATTCTGATATTTACTGATAATATTATTAACGATTACGCAGAGCAAAATATCGTTATCATCTTGACAAGGATCTTATAATTACCAACAGGATCTGTTCCGCGTTTTGATTCCAATTAATTTTTCCAAAAAAAAAGAATGAATTCGTGACATCTTTGTACAACAATAATAATTATTTTATATACATTTTTTTTTTACGTGTTGGGAGTTTTTTTTTATAAAAAAGAAATAGAAATAAAGAAAATCAACGGGTGGCAGTTTCTGGATAAGCGTTTATCATAAGAATGGTGGCGGTGGTTATCGCCACTCGTCATCATTCTAGTTTTAATATTCAAGATAAATTAGTTGGAAATAAATAAATAAATTTTTTTCATTTAGAACTTCATCTCACCAAAAAATAAGTTTGTCCCCGGAACTTATGACTGAAATATCTAAATATATTGAAAATGTTTATAAAACAATATATCCATGTACACTTGTCAACAAACAATGGCACAGTATCAATATTCCTATTTTATGGAGAAATACATTTTATTCATATAAAAGCATCAAAATATTAATCAATTGCTTATTGAAAGAAGATAAGGATTACTTAACAGGAATTAAATTAATTTTTAAACTATTGGAAAAACCACCATTATACAATTATGCAGATTTTATACTATAATTTATATCAGTTATTGTCTTAGAAAAATTCCTTTACAAAATAAATCAATAAAATTTATTTTAGATCATTCAGTAGGTATTAGAAGACTTTAGTGCTAGTAATTTATATTGTAATTTTTTAATTAATCATCATAGATTTGATGATTGTTTTCAGAGCCTTTATGGAATAGATTGGGATAGTTCTTATAATGGTGAATTTTTTGATAAATTAACAAATACCTGTAAAAATAAAGAATATGTTATGCTGCTAAAGATGATAAAGATTTATATGAATTAAATATTTCGATATTGGATCAGAAAGAAACCCAATTTTACCAGGTGAACTAAAAAAAGTAATATTAACACACTCACAATCAATAATTTTTTATGGAACTTGTTGCAAAGGAAATAATTTAGATGATTTATTATTATCAACTTTTAAAAATTAAAAACTTTAGAGTTAAGATCTTATTCTAGCAAAGTAAAAAGTTGGAAAAAATATTTCATTTCCAAATATTGAGGCTGTGAAGTTATATTTTTACAATCAACAATTTCTTGAATTGTCTGATTTTATTAATACAAATGGAAAAATCTTAAAACCTGGATGTTAATAATTTACAATATGATCATAAATATGCATGTTAGTCGAAATTGCCTCTCTTAATAATCACCGAATCCGAAATGCCAAAATAGTTTTCCCCAAATACTAATACTAAAAACAAACAAGTAATAATCGCCCAATTGTTTTTATTTATTTGGTCATGTGCCACATAATGTACCTGGTAGATTAAAAGATTTATCAATCAATCTTTTACAGAGATATCTTTGTAAAATCTTCAAAGGAATAAAAACAAAACTTATATATTTAATTACTCGTGATAAATAACAATGCCTTATCAAGCCTTTTCCGAGACAGGTGATACTGTTGTTAACATGGAGGATGAGGAAGGAGTTAACGAGAATAGCCCTTTGTATCCCTTTGGTGTTCCTGTTATTTTATTGAATGTTAAATCTCAAATGGGTAACTAATAATTATTTTTTACATATAATATAATAATATTATTATTATCATTGTAATATATTTTTAAATGGATGGTTTATATGTTTTTCATAGCATTTGTTCGTAAAGTTTGTATGATCTTTGCATTGCAACTTATAGTCACTATAGCATTTACAGGTTTATTGTTATATCAGTATCATTGGAGACATTTTATTCAAAGATTGTAAGATTATTATTATTATTACAATTTATTTATTTATTTATTTATTTGTTGATTGATCAATATATAACAATGATTATACATTATTCTTTAGTGATTGGTATTATCCGATACTCCCAGTTTTATCACTTATTTTGTTGGTTGGAATTACATGGAAATCAAATGATAGTTTTCAACCGCCTTGGTATTTAGTTGTTTTATACACTCTACTTAATGCTGTTATTATTGCTGCTCCTAGTAAGTATTTAAGAATAGATTAGCGATTATTAATTAGTTAAAGATTGATTGGTTGATTAATTGATTATAAATATCCAATTCTTATTTAATTTAGCATCACTGTTGAGATTATTCTGTGTGCTTGACGCTTTAATCATATTATTGGTAGTTGCAATATTTATTATTATTGGATATACAAATCAATACACTTATAGATTTAAAAGTAAAGCAACAATGTAAGTTATATATAATATTTGTATTATATTTGTGTGTGTGTATAAATAATAATAATAATTTTTATTATTATTATCATCCATCATCTTAATTATAATTATAGCATAATGGTACTAATAGTGATTGCAATAACCACTTTGGTTTTACATCCATGGTTTTTTACATTTTGGGATGCTATACCAGCAGTTATTTTCTCAACTTTATTATCACTCTTTGTTATATTGGATAATTGGTATATGTTGAAAACAATGAGTAAGGGTGATTATATGGCTGCCAGCATGCAAACCTACTTGGATTTAATAGTACCATTTAGAAGTATACATCATCTTTGTGAATTAACGGCTGAATTTGATGATGATACTGATGATGAAAATGATTATGTTGATAATGTTGTTGATGTTAATCGTAATCATAGGGCATGAAATATTTAATTTATTAATTTATGTTATTATTATCACTATATACATACATACATATATATATATTGTATTATTATATTATTCAATTTTTTGAAAAATTTGTCAATGAATGACTTTAATTGAAAATTGTAATAAAGTGTAACTTTACATAGGGTTTTTTATTCCAAGAATTCGATCACAAAAAATTATTATTTTGGAAAGATCCTTGACTTAGTATTTAGAGCTAATCCTTAAATGAAAATATAGATATATAAATCATTTATATCAGATCCATCACCATGGAACCCAAGAATAGTACAATCAAAAGCATTTTGAAGAATAAGATGAAAAAATTGTTTTTATTTTATTTTCATATGAGCCTTTTAGAAAAAGTCAATGCCCTGAACACAGTGTATTTTTAGTAAAATCTTGTCCTGGAAGCATGTTGAGAAGCTCTAACTACGTCTGGGTTAATGATAATTGCAAATTCATGTAAATATGCAGTAAAGAGGTATCACCAAGTATACCACTAAAGTGAAATGCTGATAAACATGATGTACTTTATCTTCCTGATAGAAAAAATGTTGGAGCGGTTGCTTTAATTCCATTTGAACAATAACTTGGTGAATAAAACCCTTTACAAAATTATAAATCATGGCCAGTGCATAATCACTACATATCTATTAAGCTGGGTTAAGCTAAGAATGTCCAACAAATTCCTTACCATTTGTTTTAACCTTCTCATTTTCTTATTGGACTAGAACTACCAATACCAACACAAACAGGTAAAATCATAAACTAAAAGTCATCTCACTATCTCATCTCCACTTATAACTTTTCATCTATCTTAAAGTTAAAATGTTGTTAAACACCTTTACTAAACCTTGTTGATGATTGCATAATTGTATTACATAAATTTATGAAATAGTGCTTTTCACATAAAAATCTTCTTTATAATTTTTTTCTTTTGCTGATGGGACAAAATTAATTATTTTGTATTGCTGGTAAACATATAGTGGACCATAAATAAAAGTCAACAATGATAACAATTTAGAAAGTAATTTTCATAAAAAAATAAAATAAAATAATACAAAAAATTTATTAAGAGCCTGGCCTCCTTTAAATCAAAGTATGGTTGATTTATGTAGAATTAAAAGCATATTAGAAGAATCTTTAATACTGTTGATTCGTCTGAGTCACTGTCTGAATTACTTTCCGAATCACTAACTATTGTTGAGTCACTACTTTCACTATGAATATCTTCTTCTTCAATTGTAGGTTCCAGAGAACTTTGAGGTACTTCATCTAATGCTATTCTAAAGTGGTGAGTTTCTCTAGCTGCTAAAAAGTAATCCTGAACTATTGTATTTAAGCTTCTCAGATATACTCTGTATCTAACACTAATTAATAATACTCTGACAAGTTGTATTAGTCAAACTGGACCTTGTTCTAATAATATTTGTTCAAAAGTGGTCACAATTTCTGAAGTGCACTCTATCGCTTGATGTGTTTCTTGTATCCAATCCCAAAAGATTAGGAAAAATTCCGATTTATAGGTGACAAATTGAGCAAGATATATCACTATGTGCTTGTGATATATCTCTGATGTGTGGGTATTGTTGACGTACTTGGTTATGGATCCTTGTGTTTTCCCAGATGATTTGGATGGTTTCTTAACTAGGATCTATGTTCATTCAATTAATCCTCATAAGGATCTTTGTTGTAAGGTACTTCGTCAGGGATATCTTCCAAAGGTACCTCTTTTGGAGAAACTAATTCTTCTTTAATTAATTGTTCTTCTTCTTTCTTTACTAATTTCTGGAAGACAAATTCTATCTCTTCCTCCTCAGTTAGCCCTTGTAAGTTGCAATTTCTTTTTATGTGCCCTTTAATCCCACAGGAATAACACATCTTGTTTTGGAGGTAATTTACAATTGGTTTTTCTTCTTGATAATGTAACTGAAATAGTTGCTGGGATTTTCATAGAAATATTGAAATACCAGATCAATTAATTTCTTATCCTTGATTTTTTATTCAAGGATTTGATTGTAAACAAGATCAAAGATTTTTGTCTTAATTATTTCTGAATTATTCTCTTTCAATTGCATTTAAATTTAAGAAATTAACAATAAAAAGATAAAGGGTAACCTCATAAGATAAGAATAAAAATAAAATAAGAGATAAAATAATTAACCTCAAAAGGTAATAGAATGAAAAAATAGAAGCTACCTCACAAGGTAATAAAATAAAAATAAAAATTGAAAATGTAAAAAAATAAAATAAAGGAATTAAATAATTCAAAAATAATTCTGCAGAATTTTGATTATAGCTTATCTTCCTTGGTGTAAATTTCCACACAATTCACACCAAGTTGTCACTGATTAAATTTGGGAGTGTGTTTTAATGATGGTGATAATTATTTTTGTTTATGTGTGGATCAGATATATCCGTGAACATATTTTCATCAATGGATACAGTTGAGTGTGGTAGTGTAAGGCCTTGTGTCTTGTGAACAGTGAGTGCAAATGCATTCTGAATTGGGAATTGCTTCCTGGATGCTGGTATTCCATTGATAGTGAAGTATGTGATTTCTCTTTGAACATTTATCTTTACAATATTGTTAGCTGTGGGGAAAGCAACCTCAACATTATCATCATCAATTACCTTGGTGATTACTCCTATTGTTCCATTACATATTCCATGTTCAAACAATTTATTATTTAGGAACATTATGTGAGCACCTCCAACAAACATCATAAAAGAATCCTTCTGTATATCCTGGATCATGATGTCTTTGTTAGAATTAAAGGCCCTGAATGTAAAGTTCAAAAAATCATCATTGTCAAGCCTTGAAGTTGCCACACCATTCAAAACATTAGATCCACTCACAGACTTTACAAATGCAATTGTAGATAAGACGGAAGACTTAATTATTTATGAGTTTTATTTTTATTTTTTTTAGATGTGATTTAAATTGTTTCGTGAGTATCAAATATTTTCTTTGCTCATTCGCTTAACCTTTTTATACAACCCTTCTTCACTAGCTAAATCATAAAAATCAGTAATTCAATGAATGACAATAAATGCGTCTGCATGTGAAAAAAAAGAAATGCGGGACTAGGGTTTCTATTCGTATATATAATAAATAAGCGTAATGATGTGTTATTAATATTAAATATTAACAACATTTTAATTGAACATATTGTTAACTATTTCTTGGCAATGGCACTTGTATATAATGTCATTTTTTTTTATTTCTTTAAATGCTGACGAATTTATTATGAAATGACAGAACAAGAAATTGTAAACATAGTGTTGGGGAAATCTGAAGTTGAAGATAATGAGGGTGTTGATAAGATAAGCGAGCCAATTGTAACAAATACAGAAGCTATAAATGGTTGAAAATGCGCTTAAATATATACAACAAAAATATTTAGAAGTTGATCCTCAAATAATTAAAAATATATAAATATATTGAAGTTAAAAAGAGAAAATTTCTTATAGAAGCACCCAAGAAGCAAAATAATGTTGCATTGATGAATTATGAGTTGACAATGATATTATTATTATTATTATGTTATATTTTGTTTTTTATGTATATACAAAATAAAAAAATTTTTTTGTACACATTTAATTTGTATCACATGATTTGATCATAAGTTTCGATTTAGTGGATCTCTCGATTTAACGGATAAATTTTCTGGAAAAAAATATCCGTTAAATCGAGACTCACTGTGTAGTATTTTTCTGCCGTTCATAAAAGGATCGGCAATTAATGATTATAGATGATCTGCACCGTAGTTATTTTATCTTGATTTAACGGATTTAGCGGATTTCAATATTAATATATTAACATTAATATATTCGGTATACCGGAACTGGAAACTCCCCACACTAGAAGTGATTTCAAAAAAATCTCCGATTTAACGGAATCTACAGATTAAAAGATAAAAGCCACAATTAACGGGGTAAATTTACATATTTGGTTTTGTACTTTAAAAAAAAAAAGATTATTTTAACGAGGGGTTCGGATTAACTGGGTTGACTATGTACTAACATGTTTGCGATTTATTGACAAACTGTTAATAAGAAAAAAAGTAAATAATAAATCAAACGAATTTATTCCTTTTACAAAAAAAATCTTAATAAAAAGAGAAAAAGTAAAAAATAATTATTAATCAATATTTATCAGTTCTTTTTAGTGCCACTCTCTAATTTCTTTATTTCATGAATTATTTCTTCTTCTTCCTCCTCACCTACAAGTTCAGTATCTTCATCACCATAAACATTCACATCGTACCTTTTACCTCTTATGCCAAATATTCCCCAATTTGTATAAATACCTTCTCTAACATCCAAAGGATTAATTTCTCTTCTTAGACTTTTGTAAATGTTTTCACCTGGTTCTAACAACAAATCGAATTCAAATGCATCATTATTTTCTATCGCTTTAAAATCCTTTAACAAATCGCTCTCATCAAATCCCGTTATAAATATTCCACATTTAGTTGTCAATAATTTTCTCAATGAAGTTTCCCAAGTATCCATACCATCTTGTTGTCCAATTCCCGGGCTAAATAAAAAGAATACATCATAATATGGATCAAAAGGCTTGGCTGTATCATGAAAATCTTCATATGATGAATTGTTCCATGTAAAACCTAATTTATAATTATAACTTTTGCTATATGAATCTGGTTGATCTTTTTTTGGTAATATTGATTCAGGACCAATGAAATATATATGGATAATCGAATCTGGAAATAAATAGGATAATTGTGTGTACACATTTAACGGTAATTGTGCTTCTCCACGTGCTCCTATTATAAAGACCCTTATAGCGTTTACCATTTTAATTGATTTAATGCTGTTATTCACTTGTGTAGAATATAATGTTGATCGTAATGCTACGTAAATAATAATGATGATCGTTATTGTTTAATTTTTGAATGGTAGAAAAATCAGAATGTTCTTATTGAAAATTACCAGTTAAAGATTTTAGTCCTTCTAATGTTAAACGATTTTTAAGAATATATGGACTATATTTATGCAAGATTGATCCAATAGTTATTGGAAATGTCAAAACTTTAGAGATATGTCTTAAAGAACGTTCAGAATCAATGCTAGGAAACCCTCTTGTATAAAAAAATGTATTCCAATTTAACATATTTACCGCTTCATCAACCGGTTGAGTTTCTTTTTTAAAAAAAAGAATAGAAATTAGGTTACTATATTTGATTAAAACCATTCTCATTATTATTATCATAAAATACCTGGAAAATCTAATTCAATCAACTTTCTTCCACTTTTCAAATCATGATCATCCTCATTAACTTCTCTTAACATATCACAGACATGTTTCTTATGATTTTCTAGATCTTTTAAATAATGTTCTCTCGAGCAATGAGTAGGGAATCCGCAATCTTCACATTCATAAACAGGTTGTTTTCTAAGCTCTTTTGATAAAGTTTCTTCGCATACGGGACATTTACCGTGTTGACGAATCAGTTTTGATTTCTGTTGAATTTCTTTTATTGGAGATTTTGACAATGGATGAAATAATTTATCGGGTGCAAGTAATGGTTTTTCTTGTTGTTTTTCCTTTTTTGAAGAAGGGTTGAAAATGTTTTGAAAATATCTTTTTTTATTTGATAACGATGATATTATTATGGGTGGCTTATTTAATTGAATTATTGGAAACTTGTGATAATGATGATTATTATTTATTAACTTTGAGAAATTGTTTAATAATAATTTATTAAGTCGTATCATTTTTCGTTATTTAAAGAAAAAGTTTTTCTGATAATCTATTTTCCACTATTTAAATTAAATTAACAAAGTTACACGAATCAAAATTTTATATTGTTATTTATTATTAACAATTTGAAGAAAAAATAATAATATTTGGTAAAATATTAGTCCTAATTTAATATCTACGATGCATACTTTATTATTTTTGAAATATAACAATAACAGTTAGTATGATTTCAAAAATCAATGAAAATAAGGAATGAAAGGTTGGGGGAATGAATACCTTTTTCACAAAATCTTTAGCAGTTTTATCAAATTTTGACTTGTTTGTATTATAAATTTCAGCAATAGAGGCCACTAAAGCATCGTCAGGATTAGGATGTTCAAGAAGACTGGCAATAGATTTAAGAACTACATAATATAATAGATATGTGTATATGTGATTAGCGAATAACAGTAGTGAAAATAAATATTTTTATATTTTTTACCTTGTGTAATCTTTGTTGATGGCTTCCAGACATCAGTTTTTAATAAATCAACACAAATTGATCCATCTTCATCAATATTGGGATGATATATTCTAGTAATAAATTTAACCTATATAAATATAAAATAAAAACAAACATACATGAATAAATAAATAAGACTATCATTATTGTTGTTGTTATTATTATTGTTATTATTAATATCACATCATTTACTAATTCGAATATATAAAAAACCTACTGATGGTGGTTTAAATGGATAGTCGTGTGAAAAATCAATCTTAAGTTTGAAAATTCCGCCTTTGTAAGGACTAGAAGCCTATAAATAAACAATATAATATATATAAAACATACAAATATCTTGTACACACACACACATATATAGTTTACATACAGGTCCTAAAATTGTGGCTATTCAAAAGCAATTAAATAAATGCAAGTAATGAGTATGAAGTCACCAAAAGAAAAATAAATGACGACAGAGTAAATCACTACCGGCCCAACTGAATAAGTCATCGTCCTCAACAGGTCCTGCACTAATTCCAACAGGTGGTTCTCTACTGATTTCTGAAAGTTCCTGTTGATAACATAAAATAAGTTTGAAATATAAAGTTTACATATTTAACTATTTAACGATATTTTTATTACCTTTTGAATACGTTTAAGTGCCATTTTATTTGAGTGTAGTGAAAAAAGCAATTAGTTAAATGATGTAAAAGATTAAAAATAAAATAGTCTCGTAAAATCAGGATCATATTTGGAAATGATCTAAAAAATCACATGGCCTGAATAAAAAAGCATTTATACGCAGAAACATAGATACGTATGTATTGGTCAAAGGAACAACTTAAAGTAATAGTAGTAGCAGTGAATGATGTGATATTTTTTTTTAATTTACTTTACCACTCGAAAATTTGAAGACAAATTAAAAGATTCAACGTAAAAAATTAAATAAGTACAAGTCTCAAAAATTCATTAATACCATATTATTATTTTTTTTTTTTTCATTTATATGCAAAAAGGTCCGATGAGTGCAGCATTAAATAATAATTATTATTATTTCATTATCTAATTGACATTTAATAATAATAATAATAATAATAAAAGCATATTATTGATGTGATTTTTGCATTAGAAAGAAAGAAGTTGTTCAAAATATAAAGAATAGCTTTTCCTCACGCACCCTAGATATTCCTTCAATCCTTTATTTATACGATTCACAAAGTAAATCTAGGCTTTTGATTTTATCTGAATCAGTGGTCCAACCAAAACTTTTACAATCTTTGCAAAAGCAATAATCCTTGTTCCAGCGCCTAAGGTGTATGTCCTTAATAATAATGAAAATATTTTCAAGAATATTAATCTTCACGTTGACACCGTCTTTGGTAAAATTTTAAGGTACTTTCCTCAGGAGCAATAACTATTGGGATAACTTTTCTGACCTTCTCAAAAGATTCCATCCTGGTATACACTGCTCGATACACACTAAGGTATTTTAATGTTTTGCCCATATACTTTACAATTAATTCCAAATGTTCATCGGTTATACATTCGCATGCAGACAAATTTAACCAGGTTAAAGGTGCTCTACAATTTCTCAAGAAATATTCAAAAACCGTAGTTGAGAAAATCCATTCCGACGAAATGCATAGTTTTCGAAGACTGCACGGTATAGATTGCCCTATCATCGGTAAGAAAGATTCAACGTCCAGATTTGTACCATAAATTGATAAACTTTCAAGTTGTTGAGAGCGCCGTAAAAGTGAACATAATGCAAGTATTTCATCACTACCATGAATCTGTTTTGATTCAAATTTAGTCAGATTTGGGCAATGAGTGACTATTGTTTGAATGACTAAAACCAAATATTCTGTACTTTGTGTTGAACATAAAACCACCTCGCACAAACTTATATTAGCGTTCCTCACTAATGCTGTAACAATCTCAAGTGGAATATCTGAATTTGTTATATTCAAACATGACAGTCGTGATAATGGTGCAGACTTGATAATTGGATTACACATTTCACTTGTCAATCCATCACAACCATCAAATCCTAAAACTTCAAGAAATTTACAAGCACCAATACCATAGAATGGTGGTTGACCCTCAAATCTCACATAACATAGTTTTAAGCTTACCAATGAATTGGCCTGACTTTCTAAAGCGGCAATTATTTTACCACTAGTGTCATTTCCATAATAATCACCATATAATTCCAAATCTTGTAATTTATCTTGCAGTTTGATAAAATCAACTATTCCTTTCACTTCAGCATCAAACTTTTCAGTATTTCGACATTGTCTTTTATTATCCCATTCATAAACAGGAAGATATGTTTTTAATTGCCTTAAATTATTACAGATTTCAAATTTTTCAAAATACTTTTTTAATCTTTTACCAGTCAGTGTTAGATGTTGAATGTGTGGTAGACAGGAAGAAGCACCAGGATATTTGGTTATGTCAAACTTTTCTAGAAGGCAAGTTGTATCGCATGAAAATTGACAAAGTGCTGGGCAACGACTTATAAATAGTTTTAATAAATGTTCAGTTAATATCCAACGACCATCAGCACCAATACAATTGTCTCTTCGAAGATTGCACCACCACCATAAATGGTGATATAAACCACCAATATGTAGAACACGTAAATATTTCGCATAATCAAATGTTGGTCGCGATAAAGTTGAAGGAGGAAGGTTCAAACCATGATCATTTAGAACTTGTTTTTCTTCATCACTCAAACAAGAAATATACACCTCAACTAATTGTTTTGACATGTGGGCGTTAGGGCTCCTCCAAAGAATAGATACGGCTTCTTGACACCAATGTCTATTTACCAAAAGACTAGAATGCAATGTATTTTTATCATCATTAAGGTACTCAAAAATTCTTTTAAGACAAAGATTTGGTAAAGAAGATGCCATTTCTTATTTTTTTGTTTTTTTACAAAAAAACTATCTGTGTGATACTAAATTCTAAGAACTGTGAGACAAAATTGTACAAAAAAAGATAATAAATGAAATTATCTGTATATATAATATTTTTTGTAGATGAATTAAATGACCATTATCATCAGATAGACATGTTAACAAAGATGTTATTGAAGAGGGCGCATGAAAAATTTTAGTTTGAAGATTTGACAAAAGAATTGATAGATGCGAGATGATTGATTATCAGTGATATTATCTACAGTTGATTTTATTATTATTAATGTTAATGATGAATTTTTTTAAAAAAACCCCTCCCGTGTACGGTTTCGGCATATGTGAATATGGGAATTACAGCCGGAGGGGATACACCTTTTCGTACTGTTGTTATATATGATGAAGAAAAAGAATGCGGCAGAGATTTATCGAATATGAAAAAATGATATTGAACAACAAGAATATCGTCATCGTAATATACACTGTATAAATAACCAAAAGTAAAAATATATGTTAACCACACCCGAAATTTTAACATTTGATAACTCAAGTAATAAAGAATCCATATATAAATAAAGTTAATAATTTGAACGCACATTATTTTTAATAACAGCTTCGATATACTCCTTATTTTTCATTCATATTAATACATCATTTTGTTATTTTGCTTTAACAAAAAAGATTTAGTCCATCTTCTGCTATCACCAGACAAACCCATTAAATATGATGAACTACCAATCACTCCGAAGCTTATATCCTTATAATAATGTCCTTCGCTGTCTTTACTTTCTTCACTTCTTTCTAAGATGGCATTATTACTAGTGTTTAATGTTGCACTGAATAAAGTCAAAGCATTCCACAACGTTGTTAAATCACTAATTATGATTAAATAATATATTTATTTATGTGAATTAGTTATAGCATAAAATTATATCTATAAAAAAATCAATGGATTAATGTATCAATCAATAGATGCTTAATACTTACTCTTTGGCAACTTTTATTACCCCAACAAAAAAATAATCTTCTTCCTCCATTTTCATATTTTCATTTAGATCTATGTTGTTGTTGTTGTTATTATTATTATTACTATTACTGCTACTACTATTGATTGATTGATCATTGGATCCATTCCAGTACAATATATCAACATGAATACCAGATCCGATTATTCCAAAAGCATCAGCTAACGCTTTTGTAATTAAGGAACGAAGTGTTAATGATGTAATTACGATATTTGTTGTTGTTATTGGTGTATCAAAATTTCTAAATTGAAAGTAAATCAAATTCGATAATGAATCAAAATGACAATAGATCAATAATAAATTGTATTTTGATTACATTTGAATCTTTAAGTAATGGAATCGTGGATTCGCGATTGTGAATTTTTTAAATTTTGCAGATTTTGGTTGTGATGATGACATTTTTTTATTTGATGATTGCACAACCAACAATTTTTTTCAATTCATCATCATGCAAATTATTTCATTTTTTAATAAAATAATAAAAAGAAATACATTTAAAAATATTTACACAACAAGGAGTAGAAATTTTTCTACGCCGTCAAATTTTCTTGTATTTAATAGAGAAACAAAAAGAATTCAAAAAAATCGTGCGGCAATAGATGTTGAAAGTAGTAGGCAAGTTGATTATTTAAAAGATGAAATTGCCAGTAGACTTGTTGATCGATTATTGGTAAAAGAATTTAATATAAATTTTTGAATTAATTAATTAATTATTGAAATTAAGAAATTTTGATCGGATTTCAGGATATTAAACGTAAATTTGATACGGTAGTGGATTTAGGTAGTGGAAGTGGACATATAATAAAATATGTCGATAAAGATTTAATGAATAAGTTAATTATGTGTGACACATCAGGTTCTAAAATAACAAAATTTATAGTTTGTTGAATTAAAGGAAAAAAAAAAATCAATTAAAGAATTTTTATCATAGAAAAAATGTTGGAAAGAGATAAAGATATTAAATATGACGATGGTAATTTAATTGATTAGAGAATATTATATTTATAGATATTGAAAAGCAGTTATTATTATTATTATTATTATTATTATTTTCTTATGATTCCATAGTTGAAGTAGAAAGAATTATAGTTGACGAAGAAATTTTACCATTTGAAGAAGATACTTTGGAAGCTGTTATAAGTAATCTTTCATTACATTGGGTTAATGATTTACCTGGTAAGATTTAAATGAGGAGGGAAAAAATGTTGATAAGAAAAAATATCAGATCTAATTAATTTAATAAATAGGTGCAATGATACAGATACGTAGATCATTAAAACCTGATGGTGTATTTATAGCATCAATACTTGGTGGTGATACATTATTTGAACTTAGGCAAGCTTAAAGATCATTTATTATATATATATATATGTTAATGTGTATATATATAAATAATATATATTATGCTCTTGTATTATTTAATCAGAACGTCATTACAACTGGCAGAATTAGAACGAGAAGGAGGTGTATCACCAAGAGTATCACCTATGACAAGTAATTTACATATATAATTTTTTTTACAAATATTTCTTTAAAGTGGAAAATATATAATTTTTGTAATTTATTTTAATATAGATATTAGTGATGTTGGAAGTCTTCTTTCACGTGCAGGGTTTACTTTGACTACAGTAGATGTTGATGATCTTGTAGTAAATTATCCTACAATGATTGAATTAATCCAAGATTTAAGATCAATGGGTGAAAATAATGCCATTATAACAAGGTTACAAAAATCAATTAATTAATCATAGTTCATATTCATACCCATATTGTTTAATTGATTGATTGATTGATTTGAGTAGAAGGCCATATTTAAAAAGAGATACATTGTTAGCTGCTTCTCTTATTTATAAAGGTATCGTTAATTAAAAAAGAGGGAGGGAAAGAAGAAGAGAGAACGATTTGATAGATAAATTTACATAGTAGCAAACTTCATTTTTATAATATTTAGACTTTTATGGAAATCAAGATGGGACAATTCCTGCTACTTTCCAGGTAACTTTATAGCCTTTGATGATGATGATGATGATGACGATAGCGATGATGATATATATTAATATTCCATCTTTTATTAACAATTACATATTAGATATTATATATGGTAAATACGAATTTAATTTTTCAAATTTATTTATGTATTAATTAAATTAACATAAAAACCATGTATATTTGTTAGATTGGATGGAAGCCTGATATAAACCAACCTAAACCTAAATCTAGAGGATCAGCTCAAGTTTCACTGAAAGAAACGTTGAAAGGAGAATAATAGTATATTTTTGATTATAACTATTTATATAATTAATTTTTCTAAGACTGCTTCATATTTCTATGGGGTAAATGCAAGTATCGAAGAAATTTAATATTTTGATCGAAAAACGAACATGAAACTTAATTTGAAACTTAATCTCAATTTAGTATTATGAATAATACCTAATAGATTCATACATGCGTATAGACACATACATGCATATACACAAATAAAATACATTACGTAGAGCATTGAAATTGTCAATTATTTTATTTATTTATTTTATTTATTTATTTTATTTTTTATTTTAGAATTGAAACCCAAATAAATAAATTATCCTCGTTGATCTTTATTCATGAAACGGCCGTTCATTAATATATACTAACACCTTTATTTGCTATAATTACTGCTACTATATTAATATACAATGCAAATTTTTACGGAAAACAAAGGATTAAATTCGTAAACAAGTGTATTAATACGATTTACCAAAAATAGTATTATTTTTTTTTTAAAATTCTTCTGTGTGGGTTATTGTTTTCCAAACTTGATATAAAAAAAATTATATATATAATCAAGTTTTCGAATTTTAAATGATTAAATTTATTTATTTTCCTTTTTTTCATTCACCCATAAAAATTATTATTATTATTATTGTTATTATTATTATTAAAAACAGCAAATTGTAAAATTGAATTTTCTTTTTGCTGTAGAATAAATAATAATAATAGTAGTAGTAGTAGTAAGTAGTAGTAAACCTATGAATGTTGTAGAACAAAAACAGAATAGAATATATTTGAAATATGTCGAATAGTCAAAATTTTAATTCCACTGTCACTACAAGCGAAGAATCTGTAGTTGGACCACCAACATGGAGAAAAGTAGTTTATACATCACTTGCAGCATTAACATTTCTGTATCTTACAATAACAATCATTTTGTTCTATACAAGACGTAAAAACATATCAGACATTAAATATAGACCGATGCGTTTAAATATCTTAAATACTGTAGCAATAATCGTGCTGTGCATGATGTTCTGCCTATGCTCTGCTTTTTATCCAAATCAGTATCCCTGTTTTTTGATTCATTGGCCTGCATACATTGGATTCTTTTTATATTGTAGTTCATTCACTTGTAGAGTGCTAGCATTTACATGGGTTGTAAAATATAATTTGGCAAAATTAAGAATGAGCATGGCTTATTCACAACCATCTTTTTACAACAATACGTCTAATCCACCAATATCACCAATGTCACCAATGAGAGAAAGATTGGAATTTCCAGAATCTAAATTGATGAATAGATTGAGGAAATTCAGACAATATGTAACCGACAAATGGTTAACAAGCTGGGTCATTACACCAATCATGATCTTGGTATTAATAGGCTCTTCAATTGCACAAATAATTAACCCGACGATTTCTATAATTCCTTTAAACACAAATTGTTCAACAATTGGACCTGGGGCCATTCCACTTTTCGTACTAATTGGATTCTTTTTGATCATCGTTTGTCCGATTCTTTTCTATTTACTATACGGTATAAACGATGCATTTGGTCTTAGGAATGAATTAATGGTGACACTTGTTAGTGGAGTTGTTGCATATGTTTGTTACTTTGTGTTTGAATTATTACTTCGAAACTGGAGAAATTATGTTGGAAGTTTTATGTTTGGATGGGTAACTCTTATTTTGGGTCACACCTTATCAATTACAATCCCAGTCATAAAGAGTTTTAAAAATAAAAAATTTAATTCTTCGTCATCATCCTCAGGCGAGAAAATACTAAAGACAGGATCCAAGAAATACGCACAATTCGAAAAGGTTTTAGCAGATAGAGAACTATTTGAAAGTTATAAAAGTAAGTTGTTTGCTATAAAAATTTATGATCTTTTTGATTTTTTGAATTCCTTGGCAATTAAATTTATAAATTTTTAAAAAATCTATTTTTATTATTAAGTTTGTGCGGCAGCTTGTTTTTGTACAGAGTTAGTTATTTTTCTACAAGAATACCAATTTCTAAAATTATTAGTTGCACAATCTTGCACACCAACATGCAAAGAATTATTACCACCGTTAACACCCAAATTATGCGTATCAGATTCAGGACAAATATCATTTACAGATGGGGCTGGAATATTGGATACAAATTTAACATCGGCAACATTGATTTCTCCTTCATTAATATCAACTCCATGTACTGTCTCCATAGTCAACACTGTATCAGCAGCATCATGGATACCATTTCCGCACGAATTAAAAAACGATTACTTGACATTTTACGATACGTTCTTTGACACAAATAGCGACTTGGCAATAAATTTCTCTGGAAATTTATTAAACATTGCTAAAAATAAAATTGAAAAAGGTCAATATGAAATCTCAATGTACGAAAGTTCAAGAGATGAGGTATTGTCTTTATTATATAGAAATACTTTTGATAGATTTTTAAAAATGTGTGAGCCTGAAGTAACAAAAAAAGGAATAATTTAAACAAACAATCAATAAATTAATTTGTTTATAGCATTCATTATTATTTTACTATTTATAATTTATAATTTATATTATTATATTGTATAATTAATTATTGTAAAATAGATTTTTAAATTTTTAATACATTATTATTTAAAAGTAGAATAAAATAGAAAAGACAAGCTCCAAAATCTGGCAGAGAAATTTAAAAGTAAAAGATGATAATTTTTAATAAAAAGAGAGTTTAAGAATGGTGAAGGTATCAATCCATTGATAATATGGGTAACACCAAATTATTATTTAGCCTGATGCCAAAAGGTACATAGTGACGAAGCGTTAAAATGCCAAAACTGCCAAAATGCGAAAACCATTGTTTTCATGATTTTAACTATAGTTTCGGCAGTTTATTATGTGAGCTATATAATGTATAGAATAATGTTAGCATTTTTAAACTATGAATTATCTTTAAATCTTTCAATGTTCGCATTTATTTTAAAAGATTACAATGTACAAAAGGGTACGTATTTACCGACAATCATTTTACCGACAGTTCATTTTACCAACAACACGCGGCGCGCCATTTTAGCATTTTATTAATTGTTTGATTATGTGGAGGTTAAATGTAACCCGCGTTGTCGGTAAAATGAATGCCTCCCGTACAAAAATGGTAAATGTGATAATTTTCAAACTTCTATGTTGCTCACATAACATGCTACAAATTAAAAATTTCTCACGCATTCTTTTTATTTATTATTAATGTTAGAGAAATGTCAATGCCAGTGACAGGCGATATTTCCTCACCTCATTCTGATAACAATATACCCCCCTCACTTGCAACACTCTATAGTACATCTAGTTTTCGTTTTGGAAACATTAAGAATAGTAGCAGTAATGGTAGTAACGACAGTTTGGGAACCCATTCTAAATATTCAGAGTCACAACAACAACAAAAAACAGATCTTTTACCATTTTATAGACGACCTAGATTTACCTCGTTTATTACAACTATTGTCATAAATTTTATATTCCCTTTTATTAATGGTGTAATGTTGGGTTTGGGTGAGATTTGTGCCAACGAAATTGCCTTTAGAATGGGTTGGTTTGGACTTAGAAATGTACCAAATACTTCTTCTTCTTCTTCTATATCTACTCATAACAAAATTCCACTTGGTCCTAAAGAAAAATATGGTACAGGGATTGGTAAAATTAAACTAAAAAAGAAAGTTATGCCAGACGGTAAAGTGATTGATGACACTGAAATAGTTTACGTTCAAGTTACACCAGTTGCTCCAATTATTTAAAACAAATTTTATCTTAATATTATAATTTTAATTTATATCACATTCTTTGATTCTTTCTACTATATTTCTTTCCTTGACATTCCATCATTAAAAGATTTTTATAAAAACTAAAGGTTCTCTAGAATTATTACGAAAATGATTTAGTTAATGATGACACCAAACCTGAAACTCATACAAGATAGAGATGATGAAAATTTAAAAGAAGGTTTATTCAATATATAAAAGGATGATATGATAATAAAGAATCTACATACAATGAACCTTGGTTTTTATCAAATTTATTGATTATATAATAATTAATTTTGTTATTATTATATTATTGTTTAATAAAATCTTTTTTAAAATAAAAAAATGGCTTGGGTCTTTTTATGAGGAATTGTTGAATCCAAAAATATCACTTTAATTACAAATAAATTTTTCCCAGGGTAATGATAGATATATAGAACATTTGCCATCTTTCATAGTTTTTAATATCATTTGGATTAAAACACATCACCATTTATTATTTTATTGGATTTTGGACTATTTGGACCAGACCAGTCCAATTAGCTTCAACTGGACTGGACTTATTGGACTAGACTAGACTTTATTTGGACTCTGTCATGCAAAAATAAAACATTTCTCACATTTTACCTGATAAAATAAACCAAATGGTTGGATGTCTGCATCACTTGTAAGAGCTCTCTCAGCCTGATATAAATATTAGTGAATTGAAAATAACTAAATAAAAAAACTTGACATAATTGTTGGTTGAATGATTTTTTTGAAATAACTTCTCAAATTAGGAGAAAGAATCAAAAGGGCTAGACACCCAGCTATTAGTGGACAGAAAGGAAAAATAGGGAATAGAAGAAATATTTAATTGCCCAGAGACTTGCTGATGTACCTCAACAGTTTTCATAAGATCAGATGTCTCGTTTTTATGTTAATCTTCTTTAAATGACTATACTCACTTGATTAAAAAAATAGTCCAATATATCAAGCCTTAGAGAAGCTGTGCTACAACCTATGGAATGGATTTCATTTCAACCAACAAACACACTTTGATTATGACTGGATTAGACACACAGTGTATAACTTGTAAGTGCTGCTTTTTGGATTTAATAAAATATTTTTTGGATTCTAATTATTCTATTTATAGGATATGTGAATATGAAACATGTAGTTTAAAACAAAATCATCTGGAGTTGTGGTATCTGGTACATATCTGGAGTTTTATTGATAGAGCATTTGAAGACATTGA